TTTTTTTTTTTTTGCTGAGGAAGATTCACCCTGAGCTAACATCTATTGCCAATCTTCTTCTTTTTTCTGAGGAAGATTCACCCTGAGCTAACATCTGTTGCCAATCCTCCTCTTTTTGTATGTGAGCCAACACCATAGCTTGGCTACTGACGAGTGTTGTAGGTCTGCACCTGGGAACCAAACCCTGGCCACTGAGGCAGAGCACACCAAACTTAACCACTAGGCTGCTGGGGCTGGCCCCTCTAAGGACAATTTTTAAAAGTAAAACTGATCTGTTGTTTTTATGAGCATCTCCCTCAAACAGGTAATTGGGGCCTTGCCAGGGCACTGTAAAAGTCTGATTCCTTCCTCGGGTTTGTCTGTGATTTACACATAAAAAAAGAAAATAGTGCCCTTTAAGACTGCTATCCTTGGAACTCTCTGATGGTGATGTTATTTACCTACAGATCAAAACAGATAGAGTCTGCCTGCTTCAGTGGGACAGCAGCTTTCATGGAAGTGCGAATTCAGTCCGTGGTTGTTGAATTCATCCTCAACCACGTCGACGTCCTCTTCAGTGGGAAGATCAGCGCTGCCATTCAGGAAGGGGCAGGTATGGCTCAGACGGACTTTGTGTACTACTGGGAACATGCATCTAAACCTCTAAAGGAAGGGAAAACTGCATCCCTTATCTCACTTTAATGAACCTGTCTTTGGTAGAAGGCAGCTAATTTATGTCTGTTTCCCAAAATGCACAATTCCTTCCAAAACTAAAAATATCTGAGTAATACCAGGCCTTGCCTGGAATATTTTAAGAATGTGAAATAGTTAAATTACTTAGGGAATTTTAAAAATATGTACAATATGTCCCTATTAAGAACCTAATATATCACCTTCTATACCTCACTTAGGATAAAGCCCTATTATTTTTGCCGTTTAAGAAACTTAATGAAGAAAATTTAAAACAACACAGATAGGTACATAGATGGATAGACAGATAAACAGATTGATATCTACACACTCATACCTATTTATATTTTTTCCCCATGCTAAAACATTTGACTCTCTTTGTTGCTTTTCTTTCTGTCCAAAGCTTGTCTATCAAGACCCAAGTCCCTGCTGGTTTCCTCTCCATCCACCAAGCTGCTGACGTTGGAGGAAGCCCAGGCACGGACACAGGCGCAGGTCAATTCTCCAGTTGTGACTGAAAATAAATATATCGAAGTAGGAGAAGGACCTGCCGCACTTCAGGGGAGATTTCACACCATAATTGAGTTCCCACTTGAAAGGTAGAATTCATTAAATCCTCCTTAAAAATACGATTTTCATGGCTATGTGTTCTTTTCTTTTATTATTACTTTTACTTCGTATTTCAGTATAACTATATTGATTCTGGGCCAGTCCCAGGAAAACCTGTTCGTTTGACTGTGGATGATACCTCATAGGGAATGATACAAACGATTCTTGAAGAGCATTACAACATCGTGTCATTTTAAAGAAGAATAAAGGCAATTGTACAGGGAAAATTGTTAGAAAAAAATGATACACTTCCACTATATAGGGTGCAATTCTCTCTCTGAGATGTTTAGAAGTTTGTTTAGAAATAAACTGTGTTGGAATGGCTTATTCAGAAAGTAATGAGTGGATAGTAATGTGTTTGACGTTAGTTCCACATTAAGTCTGAAACAGACCTGTGCCTCTCCCTGTGTGGTCTCCCAGCAGCACCAGCAGCACCTGGAAGTTACTAGAAATGCTCATTCTCAGCCCCCCCCCCCCGCCCCAGCCCCACTGAACCAGAAACTCTGGAAGTGTGGTCCAGCAGTCAATCTTTTATCAAACCTTCCAGGTGATTCTGATGTGTGCTAAAGTTTGAGAACCACTGCAATTCATTCTCTCAATGTCCTTTCCAGCTTTGAAACTCTCTGTTTCTCTAAAGAAATAATAATAACATGGTTTTTGCATCTTCTTTACTAAGTTATAGTAGGAAGACTAATATGTGTAAGTTAATTTTGATTTCTCTGTTATTCCTCGGGCTGTTACACGTGACTGTCAAGATTTCAATTCCCTGGATTGGGTGGTAGTAATAACACTTGAGAATTTATTTTTTCCATATTTTAGTATATCTCTCCAACTTCCCATGGCTAAAAATGTCCTTATAAAGTTAGAATGCTCTTTTACTTTGTCATTGTGAGTTTGTTTTCAGCTTTTTTGAATTCATGTTTTAGCTCCGTAGTTTTCTCAAAAATTTCTTTATAGAATAGTTATCAAGAGAGTACATACTGGGGTGCAGATAGACCTGAGTTCCAACCTGACTTCATCGTTTACTAGTTTCATAACATTAAGGAAATTACCTAAACTTCTTAGTGTTGTAATTTCCTCAGCTGTAAAGTGAAAATAATAGTGCCTACTTCCCACGGGTATATATGATTTACGAGATACTATAAGGCAGCGCACTGCGTGATATTCAATATATCTTAGTTATTATTCTTAATGCTTCTCTTCCTTTTTGGCGTAATTCTCTTTACTCACACCTAAAATCATTTTCTTTAACTCTGTTTTATTTTTGGAGTTTTAATATTTTCTATTCCTTAAATATGTCTTGTTCTCACTTATTTCACAGATTGTGAGGTTATATCTAAACAAAAATCTATATAAAAATTGTCTTTGTGAAACTAGTTACTAATATTAAAATACATACATTTAGCTTCCCTTTCGTGCTTTAGCTGCACAGTTTGGCTGCATTGTGTATAGTGTGTTATATGGAAGGTGGATGAATATGGAGCAGCACAAGAAAAATTCCTCCCCAAACTGAAAATATCTGAGGAATACCAGGCCTTGCTTGGAATCTTTAAGAAAGGAAAGTAGTTAAATTACTTAAGGAATTAAAAAAACAAAAAATATATGTATATATATGTCACTGTTAGCAATCTTGTATATCACCTTCTATTCCTCATTTAATATAAAGCCCTATTATTTTTGCCATTTAAAAAAGTTAATGAAGAAAATTTATTATTTATTTCAGCTGTACCTCTCCAGGCTGTTCTTTCCATCATTTGTTCATTTCCTTTAAGCAAAGATAGCCCCTTGGATACCTTAACACAGATTTTTCTCTCTCATAGGAGGAGGCCTCAAAATAAAATGAAAAAATCTCCTGTGGGCAGCTGGCGTTCCTTCTTCAACTTGGGGAAATCATCATCTGTTTCTAAACGAAAGCTGCAGCGTAATGAGAGTGAGCCCTCAGAGATGAAAGCCATGGCTCTGAAAGGTGAGCGCCCTCTCGCCTCCCGTGTGTTCTGCGGCTGGAGAGCCGTCTGCACGGCAGGTTCCCACTTCTCATCCTGTCCTGGTGGCGCTCTGCTTACTCTGGACACACACTCAATACATTCCGATAATCTGCTTCAATATAATCCGCCCACAGTTGTGTTGCTACGTGTGGATTGTCTTCTTTTACCAGGTCTTTATCTCCAAATATGTAAGTTATATATAAATATGTAGAAGTGCCCGATTTCTTATAGTGTGAGTGTGGTTAAAAATTCATAACATTTTGTAACATAGTGCATATATTGTTGGTAATAAAAAATAACTATGTGATGTTAAATTTGTTAATCTATATTTTTACAGGTTTAAAAAAAATGACAAAACCATGTTTCCACATGCCTTTCAAGTTTATAACTCTTATAACCAAAGAAGCTATCTTTTTATTAGATGACTCATTGATGAGTATTTTATTGGATCAAATAAATCTATTACTATTGTTGAAAATTCTACTCTTTTAAAAATAGTTTAAAACCTGTGTTCTGCTGATATTAACAGTTTCTGAATCTAGGAAAGATAGTAGTTCTCTCTTCTCAGAACATGTGTGAAATATAATATTCAGTTCATTTAACTGATCATTCATTCAGTTTGCAATCATGTGCTAAGCCTATGCTAGATATTTTGATAGCAGCCTCTGCAGATAGAAAATTAAGATGCTACCCTGCCTTCAGAGTCTTACTTGGGAAATTATATGTGTAAGGAAATAAATTTCATGCAAATGATAGTTACTGCAATAGAGGTTTGTGTAAGGTATTTTTGGTAGGAATTGTCAGTTCATGTGGGGAGAGGGGCTGGTGGTCAGAAAATAAAACCTTTGTCCTGGGCTTTGAAGGATAAGTAGAGATTCACCTGATCAGCCAGGGACTGAGAAAGGTATTTCAGGAATTGGAGCAAAGTGTGTCCCCGTGTGTGAAACAGGAACTCTGAGGAATTTGGCTGGGTAGTGTATACAAAAAGAGAGGCAGATCACAGGGGCCTCGTCTGCTTGCAGAGGGTTTTGGTTTTGTCCTGCATTCCTTGGGGGGTTATTGAATGGTTTCAGTATGTAACGTAATCAGGTTTGGGTTTACGAAAGATGACTTTGGCAGCAGCATGGGGAATATATGGGAAGAGAAAAAGACTGGAGGCTGGACAGTAAATTAGGAGGCAGTTATAGTTGTACAGGCAAGAAACAATGAGTGTCTGGCATAAGCAGTGGCAGTGGGAGTCGGAAATAGATTTGAGAGATATTTAGGAAGCAGAATCTGCAGGGCTGGGTAACCAAATGATTGTGAAGGATGAGAAAAAAAGAGGGGAAAAGATAATTTTCAGGTTTTGATTAAATGATAAGGGAGATGATAGTGCCATTATCCCTGTAGGGAGTAGCAGGTGGGAAGAAAAATAGTGTATTTATATTGGACATAACGAGTTGGACATGCCCAAGAAGTGATTAGTGGTATGGATCTGGAATTCAATAAAGGTGTGGAATATATCTAGAAATACAAATTTGAAAATCATCTGCAAAAAGGATGGGTGAAAACCCTAGAGATAGATTTTATGGCCCAGGGAGAGCCCATTGATTGAGACGCAGGTTGGGGGCTGAATCCTAGAGAAAAGCAGTGTTTAAAAAACTGGAAAAGACAGAGTTGTAGTGAACGGAGAATGAGAAGAAATGGCTAGAAAGCTAGGCAAAGAACAAGAGGTAAGTGCTGTCACCAGAAGTAATGGAGGAGGGGTTTGAAAGAAAGTGTCAGGGGTGTGGCATGCTGCCAGGAGGTGAAAGAGGATGACGATATTTGTCAAATAACATCCAACATATTTAATTAAAGTACCTGGATTAGTTTCCTAGGGCTGCTGTAACAAATTGCCAAAAATTAGATGGCTTAAAACAAAATAAATTTATTTCCTCGCAGTTCTGGAGGCTAAAAGTCTGAAATCAAGGAGTAAGCAGGGCCATGTTCCCTCTAAAGGATCCAGGGAGCAATCCTTCCTTGTCTCTTCCAGCTTCTGGTAGCACCTGGCGTTCCTTGGCTCGTGGTGGCATCACTCCCGTCTCTGCCTCCATCTTCACATGGCCTTCTCCTCTGTCTCTCTATGTCCTCTCTTCTTAAAAGGACAGCAGTCACTGGATTTAGGGCTCACATTAAATCCAGTGTGGTATTATTTGGGGGTATCATACTGGTCTTTAGGAAATATAAAAGGAAGAAGTTTTTAAATTCATCTCTGTTCTCAAGAAAAGAGATTTTTCACGTAAGAAACCATGTGAGAACAATACAACACATTATATAATATGATTCTAAATTGAATATGATTGTCAAAGTGTACAGCTAATCACTCTTGGAAGTTTAAATACGTGTAGAGAAAAACACTGTTCCCTTCCGCTGTGTATGTAATAGTGAATAAGTGTCACGCTCTCTGGTTTTGCTTCTTCAGGTGGCAGGGCAGAAGGAACCCTCCGTTCAGCTAAGAGTGAGGAGTCTCTTAGTTCCCTCCATGCAGTCGATGGTAAGACTAAAAGCATCAGCTGTTTTGTTCTATAAGATATTGCATAAAAGAACACAACAATTGAGTATATTTTATAAAAATATACTTAATAAATAGACTATAGACTGTCATTTCCTAAGAATACTAGTATCTATTTAGTATTATCCATTGATGTTTTAATATCAGTCTTTGATTTCTTCCCTTTTGACATGATTGCTATTCAATTTACTAAAAATAGTGAAATGTTTTACGTTAACCATTTATATTTGTTAGTGCCCAGTGTAAAGTGGTATTAGTATTTCTGTAGATATCACAATGAGAGCACAATGTTACAAAGTATAAAATTAAGCAGTTTTGATATTCAGACGGATAGTCTTTTGTCTTGCAAATAGCTTAACCTACCGTTCAGTTTCATAGATCAGATTGATAACAGGTGGTCCTCGTTATCTGAGGATAATTGTACCAAGAGAAGGCAACTTAAAGAGAATCTGCTTAAAATGGGGACCAAAGTTTTATGGTAAATAGTGCAAAAATGTTTGATTGCAACTTGAAAAACAAAACTAAAAAATTTGAAATTTGAAAATGTTTATTTTAGCTTCTATTTAACAAAAGTCAAGTTATAGTTGCAACTATGTACTAATTTTTAAAGTGAACAAAGGATTACTTCAATGTTGACTTGAAAGGAGATAGAACTTTTTTGACAAAACCACGTATTAGCAAATAGGACATCCTTCACTTCATGTTGGGCTTCTGCAGCAGGATTGTAAAAACGCTCTTTTTACAAAAAGTAATCAAGAGCTACATTGATTTCCCACAGGCTTTTCTTAATCCATTGATATTCAGTCATGCTCTTTTGAAGTATCTTGGAGTGTCATCATCCTGGTCAACGTATTAACTCTTCTAACTGCCAGATCCTCATTGATGAAAGGCTCGACTTGTGATTCAATAAATCCTCACAGATCACTTTAGTTGGATGTCCAGCATCTTATGAGTTTTCCGAGATTTTCCGTTTCACTGCAGTTAAGAGAATCGTTCACAAAAACAGTGCAGTGGGCTGGGTAGATGCTAGTGCTAAGCAGAAAATAATATTTGAGTAGGCATTAATATTATAATTGGTCAATAATTACTGTATGTATTTATGTTAGGACAATTTCTGCCTCTTTCTAGTACATTTTCATTATGGCAATTCTGATAATTTTAATAGAATGCTGAGATAGAGGACTTCTTTTACCAATTGGATGTTTAGCAATATCATAAAATTACTTAATGCTTCACCACTCTTGAGGACTCTTCCTGAGAAACGTAAAGCCTATTCTTATTAAAGAAAAAAAAAGAAATTATTTTTGTTTAAGTATCTGAGAGGAATTCTTTACTAAATATAAGTACATACTTTATGGGATTGTAGACATTTTTTAATTGAGAAGTTCAATTTTTTAGAAATTTGGGTGTTATGAAGATTTTTTTCCCCAGCAACAACAAAAACCTTTTGCTGTTATATCTCCAAATTACTATTTAACGTGATTAATTCTACCTCAAAAGTCATGTGTGAGGTCAGTGGTAAAAGAAGATAAAAAGAAATGAAAAACTTGCCTAAAGTCACAACAAGAGTCAGTGTTGGACTAGTAATAGAATCTAAGAGTTCCGAGTCCTTTTTCCTATTGAACCAGCAGATGCTGCATAGTCCCTCTGATTATATCAAGTGTATGTGTTATTTAGCATTTGGTTTGGGAGTTCCATCTATGTACCCCAAGAGACAATTACCAGAAAGAAAATGAGAAGGAACATTTTCTTACCCTGTGTAGCACATCATTATTGCTGTACTGAGTAAGTGACTTATTATGGTATTTGTGCATCCTGTGACATTCACACTTTGATATTGTTATCCATTTTACCAGGTGATTCCAAGCTGTTCCGACCCAGAAGACCCAGATCTAGCAGTGATGCACTGAGTGCCTCTTTTAATGGAGAAATGCTGGGCAACCGCTGTAATTCCTATGATAATCTGCCCCATGACAATGAAAGTGAGGAGGAAGTAGGGCTGCTTCATATTCCAGCTCTTCTGTCTCCTCATTCAGCTGAGGATGTTGATTTAAGCCCACCAGACATTGGAGTAGCCAGCCTGGATTTTGATCCAATGTCATTTCAATGCAGTCCTCCTAAGGCCGAATCAGAGTGTCTGGAGAGCGGTGCTTTCTTTTTAGATTCATTAGGAGACTCCAAGGATAAACCAAGTACCAATAAAAAAGATACAGAAGCAGGTGGTAGCCAGTCTCAGACTCCAGGGAGCACTGCAAGTTCTGAACCTGTCTCTCCTCTTCAGGAGAAACTGAGTCCATTCTTTACCCTGGACTTGAGCCCCACTGAAGAAAAATCATCTAAGCCATCCTCATTCACTGAAAAGGTCGTCTATGCTTTCTCTCCAAAGATTGGACGAAAATTAAGCAAATCACCTTCTATGAACATATCTGAGCCAATTTCAGTCACCCTTCCCACTCGGGTGTCAGAAGTCATTGGTGTCGTCTCAAATACAGCAGCTCAGAATGCATCTTCTCCAACCTGGAACAAAAGTGTTGAAGAAAGTGATGTCATAAATAGATCCCCCACCCAGCTAGTAAAGATGAAAACAAATGAGAGAGAGGCCCAAGAAGGATGTGAGTCGGAAGTCCAGCCCCTGGACCAGGTGGCTGCTGCAGAAGTAGAATCGCCAGGGAAGGAGGAGCAGTCTGTCTCAAGCAGTCAGAGTAAGGCTGTACCTTCTGGACAGACTCTGGCAGGTACCATTTGTTTTCCTCCGTTCTTTCTTTAAGCTAAGAGGGCTCTTCAATCCTGTGTGCCATCTGTGCCTTTTAAGAGAGAAATTTCCTCCACAGCTAGCCTTTAATCAAAGAGAATATTTTGCTGGGTGGTGCTGATGGCTCAAAGCTCTAAATTAAATTCAGTCAAACAAAAATCCCCTAAAGGGAGTGGTCCTGCTTCAGACCTTCTTAAAGTCCCTTATCTCTTTGGACAGTCAGAATTCGTGGATAATTTCTGCACAACTTCGTAGATCTTGATTCTCTTTTCTCTTCTAATAAAATACCTATATAATAGCCTTACAAGTTAACCAGCCAGCCTACGCCATCAAGTGTAAAACTATTCCTCATAACAATCTGCAAGCGCTTGAAGCTTGTTTTCTAAGCAATCTTTTCTGAGCCAGATGAGGGACCTGCTTTTCCCCCTCATCTCTGTAGCAATTCAGGAGGAGATTGCAATCTTTAAACACTCTTTGTTTTAGTTTTCCTTCTGAACCAGATGTGTTTTCTGCAGCATTTGCATGTGGGATAGAAGATCATGGATTGCCATTTTGAAATATGGAAGGCCTTATTTTATAGTGATCAAATGGGGAGTGTTTGGCTTTCCATATAGGATAACACAAGCTACCTTTTCACTCTCATTTTTTTTCCCAATTTCCCCCCAGGAGCAGTTACCCATGACCCCCCTCAGGATTCCGTTCCTGTCAGTTCAGTCACTCTTATCCCACCACCACCGCCTCCGAAAAATGTTGCCCGCCTGTTGGCGCTAGCGTTAGCTGAGTCTGCACAGCAAGCCTCAACTCAGTCCTTGAAGAGACCAGGGACTTCCCAGGCCGCTTATACAAATTATGGAGATGTGGCAGTGGCTGCACCTGAAGATAAACTGCCTCACTGCCACTCTAGTGTTACTCTAGATAAAGCCTATGTCCAAACTGAGAGGCCGGCAGAGCAGCTCTGCCTCCAGAACATTGCATCTGTGAACTGTGACCAGCCTATACCAGATCCAGCAGCTCTTGGCGGTCACACCCATTCCAATGCAACTGCAACTGGGGAGCAGCTCCAGCAGGCAGACTTTCCAGGGAATCAGCCCCATCGAACCTGTTTATCTGGGGACCCAGAAAAGGCCAGAATCACTTCAGTTCCCTTAGCAGACTCTAAGTCTGATGATCACGTAAGTTTCCCTGAAGACCAGTCTGCGAAGAACAGTATGCCAGCTGTCTCCTTTGTGGATCAGGAGCGGTCTCAACTTCATTTCTACGGTGGAAATCAGCCTCCTTCTTATCTTGGTACAAGTGTGGATAAGCCCCATCACCCTTCAGAACTTGCAGACAAATCTCCCACACCCTCTAATTTCCCTAGGGACAAAATCTGCCCTCCTTCTGGGTCCCCTGAAGAGAATACCAGCACAGCCACCATGGCTTATACCACAGCTGCTCCAGCAACAGCTGAAGTAAGCACCAGGGAAGCCAACTGGGATGTGATTGAACAACCCACCGCAGCTGATTTTGTGGCCGCCACCCTGCAGCGCACTCACAGAACTAATCGTCCCCTCCCGGCGCCTCCTTCCCAGAGATCAGCAGAGCAGCTACCAGTCGTGGGGCAGGTACAAGCAGCAACCAATGTAGGATTAAATAATTCCCACAAGGTAAGAAGGGGAGGAAGTCAGGGAGATGAAATATACTTTTTCCAAAGGTATGTCACTTTTCAGCAGGGTGTGTTGTTATATTGAGTCAGATGTGACATTTATTTTTAAATCCCGTGGCAGGTTTCAATGAAACGCTTCCCATTTGAGGCTGGCATCTGCCTTTACCTTGATGCTGGTTTTTCTCTGAGAAAGGAGCAGGCACTCAATGGCTAGAGTTTAACTATACCTGCTGCCTTTTCTTTGTAAAGCCTTCTAGGTAGTTTCTTCATAGTCATACTAAGAGATCCTGATCAAACGAGTCAGACTGGGCTTTAGGTGTCAGGGTTGCAGATTTGTTTGGGCTGTTTTCCAACTCCATCACTGACTCATTGTGACTTTGGGCAAGTCATTTAGCCACCCTCTGCCAGTTATTCACATGCACACAATAAAAGTGCTTTCTTCTCAAGACATTTGTAAGACTTTCTGTCTTGCAGACTTTTCAGAGTTGTGAGAGATTGTGGTGTCTTAGGACTTTTTGTTATTTTCTCAACATTAATCTGCAGATTGTTCTATGGTCAAACACCTGTTTTGAAGAAAAACTTGTATGCAGAATGCTAAGGTTTTTCCTAATTTTCTCATATTTTAAAAAAGTGCCCCAGGTGTTTTGTGGTCACCTTGAACTCAAAGGACTTCACTATCTAGTCGTTAGTGGAGGATGCTATTCTCGAGGGCAGCACGTTTGCGGTATCGCTGTGAAGATCATGTTTGGCCTCTGCTGCCACAGACCGGGGTGGAGTAGAAGGTAGGGGAGGGATAGCAACTGAGTGCCTTCAGTGCCACCTTAAACAAGTCACTTTATCACCCTTCCCTAGATTTGAGCCTTAAAACTTCTCACTGTGTAGAGCTGTGAGTCACTTCCAAAATCTCTCCAGATAGAATCACTTCTTTTTGTTTAACAAAATGTTCTCGGTGTTGAGACTGAGCTGGACAGATAGACTGGGTGTATATTTTTAAGTCTGTGACTTGACTAAACCTCTGTTTGATCTGTACATTAAGGTACTGTCATAGGGAACGTCATCTTACATTTAAAGCCTATCATAAATTAGAACAGTTCTCCAAAGATGGTGATGGCTGTTACACCACATAGCAACGTAGGCCATTTACTGGCAGTGGGGATAGGTGGCCAGTATGTCCACGTGGCTTGGGAAATTTCAAGCTGCTACCCAAGTAGCCTCAACTTGTGACTTACAAATTTAATAGTGTTTGCACAGAGGGAAGCATAAAAAACAAACTCATAATATTATCATCTTTCAATAGATTCAAGGAGTAGTTCCAGCTCCAGAGAGGCCACCTGAACCCAGAGCCATGGATGACCCTGCACCTGTCCTTGTCATTGACAACAGCGCAGCTGCTCAGTGTCCCATCTCTACTCCCGCTCTCCAACCAGGCCTTCCTGAAAAGGTGCGGGACGGTGCCAGGGCCCCACCGCTGCACCTGCGTGCTGAGCCTGTCCCTGTGCACTCCTCCTGTGGCTATACTGCACCGGTTCCTCCCACCAGGACAATGGAGAGTAAAATTGCTGCTGCCATACACTCCAGCAGTGTAGATGCTACCAGCAGCTCCAGCTATCATCCCTTTGTCACTGCTTCCTTAGCCTCCGTGGATGATATTTTGCCTTTACCACTTCCTGTCCCACAACCTAAGCATGCTTCTCAGAAAACTGCTTATGCCACCTTTGCTAGGCCTGATGTCATTGCTGAGCCCTTTGGTCCAGAAAACTGTTTGCACTTCGGTATGACTCCAAACTGCCAGTATCGTCCCCAGAGTGTACCTCCACATCACAATAAATTGGAACAGCACCAAGTGTATGGTTCCAGATCAGAGCCACCAGCGTCCATGGGTCCTCGTTATAACACGTACGTGGCCCCGGGAAGAAATGCATCTGGACACCACTCCAAGCCATGCAGCCGGGTTGAGTATGTATCTTCTTTGAGCTCCTCTATTAGGAGTAGTTGTTACCCTGAAGATATTCCACCGTACCCTACCATCCGGAGGGTACAGTCTCTCCATGCCCCTCCGTCTTCTATGATTCGCTCTGTTCCCATTTCACGGACAGAAGTTCCCCCAGATGATGAACCAGCCTACTGCCCAAGACCTCTGTACCAATATAAGCCATATCAGTCCTCCCAGGCCCGCTCAGATTATCATGTAACACAGCTGCAGCCTTACTTTGAGAATGGTCGGGTCCACTACCGGTATAGCCCATATTCCAGCTCTTCTAGTTCCTATTACAGTCCAGATGGAGCCCTGTGTGATGTGGATGCCTATAGCACAGTACAGTTGAGGCCCCTTCACCGCCTACCCAATCGCGATTTTGCTTTCTACAATCCTAGGCTACAAGGGAAGAACTTATACGGTTATGCTGGTTTGCCTCCACGTCCCCGGGCCAACGTGACTGGCTATTTCTCTGGTAATGACTACAATAATGTAGTCAACGTGGCTCCAACCGCTGATGTAAAGCACACATACACCTCATGGGATCTTGAGGACATGGAAAAATACCGTATGCAATCCATCCGGAGAGAGAGCCGCGCTCGGCAGAAGGTGAAAGGGCCTGTTATGTCCCAGTATGATAACATGACTCCAGCTGTTCAAGATGACTTGGGTGGGATCTATGTCATCCATCTACGTAGTAAATCAGATCCTGGGAAAACTGGACTTCTCTCAGTGGCAGAGGGAAAGGAGGGGCGACACCCAGTCAAGGCCATCAGTCCTGAAGGAGATGACCGCTTCTATAGGAAGCATCCAGAGCCAGAGTTCGATAGAGCCCACCACCATGGAGGATATGGCAATGGACAGTCGGAGAAACCATCCCTCCCTCAGAAGCAGAGTAGCCTCAGGAACAGGAAACTTCATGACATGGGTTGTAGTCTCCCTGAGCACAGGGCACATCAGGAAGTAAGCCATAGGCAATTATGTGAATCAAAAAATGGGCCACCTTACCCCCAGGGAGCTGGCCAGTTAGATTATGGGCCCAAAGGGATTCCAGACACTTCTGAGCCAGTCAGCTACCATAACTCTGGAGGGAAATACATTACTTCAGGGCAGGAGTCTTTAAGACTGAACCACAAAGAGGTGAGGCTCTCCAAAGAGTTGGAGAGGCCCCGGGCTAGGCAGCCTCCTGCCCCGGAGAAACACTCCAGAGACTGCTACAAGGAGGAGGAACACCTCACTCAGTCAATAGCCCCACCCCCTAAACCTGAGAGGAGTCACAGCCTGAAACTCCATCATACCCAGAACGTGGAGAGGGACCCCAGCGTGTTGTACCAATACCAAACCCATGGCAAGCGCCAGAGCAGTGTGACTGCTGTGTCCCAGTATGATAACCTGGAGGGCTACCACTCCCCGCCCCAGCACCAGCGCGGAGGCTTTGGAGGAGGAGCGATGGGGACATACATGCCCTCTGGCTTTCCCCACCCACAAAACAGGACATATGCTACAGCTTTGGGTCAGGGGGCCTTCCTGCCCGCAGAGTTGTCCTTGCAGCATCCTGAAACACAGATCCACGCAGAATGAGCCCTGGGAGCAATAGAGTTGAAGCAGCCTCTGCTGGACAGTGGACTGTTCTATTTTTTTCAGTAACCAAAAAGATTTAAAAAAGAAAAAAAGCTACAAAACCCCTGGCCACATTAAAAAAAATAATCAGAAAAGTAAATCACCATCTTTTTCCCCTTCCCTGCTTCATTACCACCTCTTCCATCTATAGACTATGTCGTTTTTGTCTTTAAAAGAGATCTGAATGGTTGTCAAGCACTATGTTGAAAACTCGGTAAAGAAATTTGTCACAGACCATGCTTGCCATATAGGGCTAATTTGTCAGAGCCTGAGGACTGCCTTTAACTGAATTTGAGTTTAATTTTGTGCTTAGTGTCTGCCGTCTAGTTCAGAGCAGGGCACTCTGTCTCCTGGAGGGCCTCTGCGTTTCCTGTCAGTTCCTACTTTTCAGTAGCCATGCAGCTTGCCCAGATTGACACTGTTTTTCTCGCTTCATTCTCCCTGTCTTATAAGGGTCCCTGACCCTTCAGAAGAGTCTATCAGACATTTAGCAAATTATAACTAAAAAATACAGGAATGAGGACTTTAAGCATTTAATCAAGAGTCGTCATAAAATGTCAGACCACTGAGACCCAGCCTGAACCATGCTCTTCATATTCTTATTTTTCACAGTTGTTCCTCACAGTTCAGTGAACAGGCTCATGTTAGTGCAGAAGAAATTTTTAAAAGTTAGAATTAAAGAAACTTCTTAGGTGGAAGTCAGTGAACTTCATTAGCACCAGAAAACTATATCAATGCTTCTAGTGTGTTGCCTGCCTTCAGTTATTTTTTTTTCTCAATAATATTGGGTAAATTGTAATCTAGTAAAACACTTCGCACCATTTGTTCTCCTAAAGCAAATTTTTTTTTCATTAAAAAAAACCAGCATGGTTTGATGGATAAACATGATTTATCATGATTACAAATCTACATGTTAATTTCTGTTTCTAAACCAGAGTACAGGTTTCCTGAGAATTGTTAAAGTACATGTGTATTATCTGTTAGTAAACAGAAAGTTCCTACAGTTGCCGATCTGAGCAGTCCCCACGTCTGTCCTGAGGAGTTAGCGTGCTGTTTGTTCACTGTGTCTGTGTGCAGTCACAGTCTCACGGTAACCGCCATCTGCACCAGCATATCAGGGATAGCTCTTACACCTGTGTAGACATGTTAAACATGTTCACTACCCAAGACTTTCTTTTGAAAGTTGCATTTCTGATTAGAGTAGGAACAGACATCTCTCTAGCCCAACTCCATTCCATTTTCTCAACCACCCACCACCTCTACACCAGACTTGCAAGGCAGTCCTATATTTACAAAACAGTGTAGATTGTCATTTCATTCCATATTCTTAATAATATTTGATTTTTATACATTCACATGTTTTAAATGCTCAGTTTGTAGAACATATGAGAATTTCATTCCATTTACTGGATGGTTGCTGCTCTTGGCTTTTTAAAACTTGGAATTTTATTTAGAGCGAAGGAAGAAATCTTTTAAGAGGCTAAATTCATGCTGCTATAATTGCTGTGAAATTGTATAAAGAATAAGATTCGTGCCAGTCCTTTTTTTTTATTTAAAAAAAAAGTATGATTGCATTTTAAGGGTTTATATTTAGAAAAAGAAATAAAATTTTAAAAACAACACATTTATTTACATGTGGAAATGCTCTATAAGGTTTTCTTTTGTTCTCCCAGAATTGATCAGAGAGATTCAATAAAGATCATGGTAGAAATCTTGAAATACTGGTATGTGCAAAGGTCTGTGGAAATTTAGGCCTCTATGTTAAAAGTGCAGACCAACTGGTATATAGTCACAATGTTAAGGAACCTGATAGGATGCTTCTGTTTAGCACACGAACACATCGGGTGCTTTATACAGGAGTTTGATCTTTGGTGAATATACAGCACTAATTTTTTTTTGCTTTAACCATCTTTTTGTCAAGTAGGCAAGCCATTGCCCCTTTGAGATAACACAGCCTTGTAAGTTCTCACCAGCAGCATGGAGACTAGAAAGAGGAGCTGGTGTGACAAAGAGATACAGATGGCTTTAGTGACTGAGAGCCCAGAAGGATGTGGCTGAAGAAGTCCTGTCCAATTGTAATATTTGAGGATTTGTCGTCACACACATTGTTTAATCCTGAAACTAAAGTCTATTTTATAAATACTAAGATTAATTCCTTAAAGCAATTACTTTATTAATGTCTTAGGAATATCAGGTAAATATTTTGAATACAGAGTAATGACTCAAATTACTGGTATAAGTGTGAAACACAAACTTTAGGTAAAATCTAGAGTAGTTTTATTTCATGTATGTGGATACAGCCTTAACTTTGGACTCAGTCATTTGAAGGACTTTGCCTGTATCTTTCCCTTTATAATATTGTAGGGTAGAAATTGGATGGCAAGTCACTGTGAGCCAGGTTACCTCAGCATCATTCACTTTGTGTGTGACTTCACAAATAGAGGAATTAAATGTTACTACTTTCAAATTTTTACATGGAGCATTATGATCAAGGAAATGGAGCTGCCTTATACATTAAACCCGTAATTTAATTCTATTGGTATTTTCATAGCCATGTCTCCAGATTTTATCTTTTTGGCAGAATTCTGATGCCGCTGTTTGGTTTGATTGAAATAAATAATCCCTGGATGTCTGGCCAGAGACTTAGCTAACAGCCCCAGAGGTGCCATTTTCTTATGAGTAAATTTCATCTGAGCCTTACTCCCAACTGTATTCAATTTCTTTTTAAACATGCAAGTCCCTGGGGTGATCCCAAGGATAGGGCCTGCACGTTTTTATAATGACAAAACATTTTTAAAAGGTTAGGATCAGGTTGAAGAATTTGAGGAAAAATTCTGTAAAGAAGAGGGACCATTAATGTGAGTGGGTAACCACATTTGCAGCAGCAATAGATGCATACAATGTAAATTTGAAATTTGCCCCTTTAGCTAAAAAAGGAGCCTGCAAAGTCCATATTTCTCTTCGCAGACCTGTCAATCACCCATTCGGTATGTTGGCGAAGTATTGCCTGAGCAGTCTATGTAAGGAAACGATAATGAAAGTAAAAGTATGTCAGAAAGTGACTTCAGTGGTTAGAGGCATGTGATTTTCAGTACTGTGTGTTAAGGAAATGTCAGGAATGGTATATTTTAACTGTATGCAAGGTAATGTCAGTGTGCACAGAGGATCTTTTCTCCTTTTCTAATTAGTACTGTTAGTGTTCAAAGAATAAAACTGGTTGTTTTACAGTTTAGATTCTAAGGTAGCAAAATCTGACTTTTCAACCATGATCTGCATGAGAGAAGCATCCTAGGAAGTCTTAGATCATACTTTTGAGTTCTTTAATTTATATAGTTTTTTTATGTTTTAATATTTTTGTGAACTGGTGTAAATTGTTAATGCATATAAGCTTGTGTATTTCTGTAAATAGTTTTGTCATTTATTTCTTGACCCATATGTAAATATTTAGAGTCTCATTTCTTCAAAACTTATTTGAAGCTGAGTTGTGGGTTTGGGGTTTTGTTTGTTTCTTTGATTGTTTTGGTTGGGGTGGGGGGAGAAGGGATTTTGTACTCCAGCAATCCAGATGGAGATCTCGTGTGGTTTAAAGCAAATGTCCCACTGAAAGCAATTCAAATATCAACACAGTTATTTCAGGTTAAACAGACTTCTTTGTGTATGTGTTTCCTTTTTAACCTAATATCAATTATAAGAAAATAGATGGGTAATTGGGGATCTTCAGATCAACAGGTTAGTGTTGGTATGACATAGGTTATTATGCCAAATGGAATGCTATTTGAGAGAAGGGGCATAATGTCTCCTGGTTGTATCTCTTTGCTGCACTATGCCACCGGGCCAAACTTTCCCCAGGTCCAGCGTCTCCAGAACTGCAGAGGCCTCTTACTCTGTACTGGAGAGTCTCTGCAGACTTGCTGCACCTGAGGCTGCCCTCAGGAACCCATGCACTGCTGCCACCTGGTTCCCAAGTTTGCAGTTCCCAGGAAACTGAATTGGCTTATCGCAGAATTCTCCAGAAGGAGATTCTGAAAGACAACCATATTTCTAACGATTCCACAAGGCATCTTGGACGTCTTGTTTACCTTTCAGTGTGAAATGACCAGAAAAGAATCATGTCCTACACTCAGTCATCTGTGGCAAGCTGGTTTGTGACAAACCCAGATAAAGAATTTCAATGAGACAAGTGCTGTAGGTAACCCAGCTGCCTGACAGGGGATCCACAGCGTATTCCTGTGCCAAAGTGCTTCTCACAAGAAATATTTCCATATCAACCAGGATTTTTTGAAGAAAAAAAAATTCATATTGTTGTTGAAACCCTAGCTTTCCTATTGGGAGTCATATATTACAAATCATTCTTCGTTCTAAAATATTAGGGCCTTTTCCTTTTTGCCAGTAATAGGGAAAGTGGCCTGTCAGATGACGTTGGTGAGCCAGCATCTTTTGTATACCCACATACCACACTCCAGACTGTAAGGAAAGATAGAAAATCTGCTTTCAATAAACACCCCCAGACTTCAACATGGTTCCCGTGGAAACTGCTCAGGTAGGATTAAAGAGAAGACATAGGACATTTCCACCGTCTGCTACTTAATTTTCTGGAACTCTCATTTCCATACCAACTATTTCATCACCAAATTTTCTTCACCACTGATGAAAATATACTACCTACCTCTTAAAATGTGTATTTATTTGTCATTCAGGAATTGGGGACAAACACATGGGTGGTGGTTGAGATTTTAGTCATTAATGGTTCTGTGGGGAAAGTCATATTGACTCCCATTATAGTGGAACCTGGGGCATCTGCAGCCAGCTGAGAGGAGACAGTTGTTTGGCCATATTTCTCACCTGAGAGTGTACCTCTTAAAAAAAATTGTGAGGTTTAATTTTTATTTTAAGTATTTTAACTAAAATATTTACAGAATATATTTCAAACCACGAACTATAAACCTTCCTCTTCCTCTAAATAACCATTCAAAATAAATAAGCTTGTCAAAATGGCGAATAAAGGAAGTCCTGAACCGAGGCCCTGAAAGACTGGAACCGCGTGCCATCTATTTTCCGTTACTCAGAGCCTCCTGTTGTTCTCTCCGAACAAAGCACTTGGATAGCCACGTTTCAGAAGGTGAGATATTAGTGTACAAAAAGCTTAGAAGGGAGAATGGAATAGAGACTATGAGTTCTCCCTGCCCTCGACATATGGTGTTTCTCATACTCAGTACGCTTAGACACATGGCTTTGTCCATGTTAATAACCGAAAGTATTTCTCCCCACAGGAGAATGCTAAATGTCTTCTACAGACATAAATCTAGAAGACATTTAGCATCCACAGTTAACTCTAGTGGGAAGAAAGAAAAGAGTGCCATGTACGCATACAGTTTCAGCTGTCATTGAGTCATTCAGTTAGTGTTCATATTTTAAAATGGGCAAGAAGTCCTTAAACTTTAGAATCCATATAAAGCACCTGGAGATCCAGTTAAACATAAGATTCCTGGAACAACCACCGGACATTCTGATTCAGTAAGTCTAGGACTGGACTTGGGAATCTGCGATTTTAGCAACCAGTCCATGTGATTCTGGTACAGATGGTTGAGAAGTGCTGGTCTAGACAACGTATTTCATAGGCTTTTCTCAAAGGCAAACTCTCTCTAGTTCATTTAGCTTTACACTTTTTCTCATTTCTAACTTGGTTCCCCATCACTTTAGTGATACTGGAACAGAAATTTATCATTAATTTCTCTGTCCCAGTGTTTAAATAGTAAGCCTAGATTCAATTATTTATAACAATGACAGATGGAAATTAGGACAAGTTGATCTGACAAACAGTATAGAAAACAATATTCTCTGAAACTGGTAAAAAGAAATACCGATGACTAGACTATTGGCTCCAGTTACGTACTTATATAAGTAGTAAGTCTTTGGGTGTGAGACATTTAGGCTTATTAGGAAGTATACATAGTTAATGCATATTAACTATTCAGGCGGTCAGCTGCTTGAAACTCTGTATTCATTTAAAACAAATAACTTAGAACAACGTGGTGTGCCCTCCTCTTTCATCAAAACTTTTATAAGAACCACTAGCCCATAATTAGCTTATTTGGTCTTTTAGTTTTATGCATTTTATCAATTGTGGGCCACAGTTTAGCAATGTTTTTAATAGCTGGAGGTAATTAACACTATGCTTACTATACTATAGTGCCAGTCACTGTTGTTGTAAGCATTTTATATCTATTAACTCATTTGTTCCTCATAACCCATCTGTCTATAGATGAAGCCAAGGTACACAAAGGCTGAACTCCGCCCACAGTCGTACAGCTAGTGATGATGGTGGAGCTGAAATTCAGACCCTGGCACTCTTTGACACGAGTTTATGTTCTAATAAAAGCAGACTTTAGGGTTGGATAGTTGAATGCTAACTGCTGTTTACCAATTCCAAAACCCTTACTGAGCTACTAAACCCTTCTAAAACAATTTCTAAAACTCTTAATAAGCCATGGCTTTCTCATCACTAAAGTGGGAATGACAGTAGTACCTACTGCTTACGATTACTATGGGGACGAAGTCAGATAATAGATGTTTCTAAACGGCTTAGCAGGAAAGCAAGTACCCATGAAAGTTATCCAGGATTTTTACTGTGAAATGGTGCAAGACCATGCAGCAGATAAAGAAAAGAGGGTTATATTATGCTTATACAATTGTATCATTAAGAATTTAATCAGTTGGCTGAGTCTTTCTGAAAAACAGAAAGGTTTAACATGGTTGACATATATCTTGCAGGAGAAGTCTTGACAAGGAGAGGTGAGAGACGTAATTTAGTGGTTAAAATAAAACTTCACAGTGAAACATGGAGCTTGAGGTGATAGTGGAGAAAGCCCTTGCTCTCTAAAAATACTTTGCAATTCAGTGAAAACCTTTATATAGACAGCGCTATGACTACGAAATAATGTTTACATTCTTTATTAGAGCTATGTTATCTATTTCATTCCATTCAATCTGGTAACTTTGCAGCTCAGGGACGTGATCTTGTGAACCTCTGTGAGCTGTGCCTTCTCTGCTAATGGGAGTTGCTTTCTGCGGGTTGCACTTTATTGTCTTGCCCCAACTGTAGGCTTTTTAATACGCACAGTGGCAGGGACAGAAGCAGCACCCATAACTGCAGCAGAAGAATGGTAGGGAAACAGGTATGGTGTGTTACAAAGGGTTGCTAAAGACAGATGGCTTTGACTGACTCTCCATTTCTGAATGGTAAAACTTGGTAAAAAATAAGTCTTTCTATTAGTCTTAAACACACATACATTTTTCCTGACTCAAGATCTGTTAGAGCGTTTGCTTATCCAGAGAAGAAAGCATAGCGATTGCACTGACAATACCTACTAGTTCTAATAATTTATTGATCAATTACCATGTACCAGGCTAAGTTTTTTACACATATTAATATTAATTCAGTTTTCCTGACAGTTATGTGAAGTAGCGTTATTACTTTTATTGCCACTTTACAGATAAAGAAATTGAAGCCCAGAAAGCTTAAGTACTGTGCTGAGTCCATATGTCTGAGATTAAGTGGGATTCAGGCCCAGGCTGTGTGACTCTGGAACCTGCAGTTCGTGTGTGTGTGTGTGTGTGAGAGAGAGAGAGAGAGGAAGATTGGCCCTGAGCTAACATCTGTGCCAATCTTCCTTTATTTTATGTGGGATGCCACCACAGCATGGCTTGAGGAGGGCTGCTGGGTCTGCGCCCAGGATCCAAACCTGCAAACCCTGGGCTGCCAAAGGGAGCACACAAGCTTAACCACTATGCCATGGGACCAGCCCCTGGAATCTCCAGTTTTAACACTTTGCTATTCTGCCTGCCTAACGTGGATCTTCAAAGATCATGAACACCCTAACACAGGAGTGGTGAAGACACTATTATTGGTGAAGGTGCTATTAATTTGCAGAGAAGTCAACCCCTCCCTACCAGGATAGGCTAGGTTTATGCTGTAGTATAACCTTATAAAATCGCAATACTTTAACAACAAAAAAAAAAGATGTATTTCCTGTCAAGCAAATTCTGCTACAGGTCCAAGGCTACTCTCCTGGGTCCTCTGTGCAGCCACTCAGCCACATCTGGGTTGAGGGCGGCTCCCGCATCCTTCAGCTACATCATCTGAAACACATGTTCCTGGGATGGTGTGGCAAGGGAGGGTGTTGTGCAAGTGGTTAAAATCTGGCCCAGAAATAAGACAAGTAGTTCCTGCTCAAAGTTCATGAGCCAGAACTTGTCTCAAGGCCGTGCCCAACCACAGGGAAGGCGGCACCTTCAGTGTAGTCTGCCTGCCGTGTGTCTGGAAGGACAGCCAGACCGGGTAGCAGTGAGCAGCACTAATGTCTGTCACACCATTAGCTCTCTACTTGGAGTCTTTCATTTCCATTAATTACTGGCAACCGTATCCTAGTGTGGGAGAACAGTGCTAGTTTAAACCCTCCGAAGCAAGCTCAAGTAATAACAGTTCTTTGAACAAGAGAAATGGAGGGGCAGTGTAGGGCTGACAGGTTGACTGATGAGGTGTCACTTATGGGGGTCCCACAGTCGTAGCAAGAATTTGGCCCTGCACCCGCGGGTTTCTGATCGTAAATTGGAGAAAAGCTTCTGGAAGTAAAGAGAGAATGTGTC